ACCGCTCATGTTCTGGAGGAAGAGTTGGCTGCCTGCATCCACATTAAATTTATGCTCCCTCTTCCTTCTCCTCTGCCATTAACTTGGTCAAGTTGTATTCCAACCTGCACCTCTCTGATCTACACCAACCTTTGGGAATCCTCAGTGGCTCTCCTCTACCTTTGATGCTCTGCTGATGCCTGGCCCACCACCTCTCTCCTCTTTGCACTCTGCCCATGTCTTTGCTTCTTTTCACAGCCATATGTTCTAATCTCTTGTTCTTCCTCTCCCTACCTCCCCTTCTCTACCACTTGTCTCTCCTCCTGCAGCTCTCTGTATCTTTTTGTCGTTTCTCACCTGTCTAGCTTGAAGAGTTCAGGGCTGTGCTAGTCCCCTTCTAATCTCCCATCCTCTTCATCTCATCCCTTCCTCTTTCCTGGTTACCATCTCCCTTGCCCTCTTGCTCCCTTCAGTCACAAAAACGGTCTCTTTTTCTCTCCCACTAGAGTCAGTCAGCATGGTGCCCTCCAGATATTGCCGGACTACAACTCCCATCATCTCTGACCATTGGTAACGCTGGCTATGGCTGATGGGAGTTGGAGTCCAACACCATCTGGAAGCCACCATGTTGGCCATGCTTGCACCAGAGGAAAAAGGAAGCAGTTTTCACTGACCACCATCCCTGTGCCCTCAACCCAAAAAAAGCTGCCATGGAAGATCAGTGCACCCTTTGGAACAGCATGGGAGGTGGCATTGGGAGGTGCAAGGTGAAGGAGGAATTGGGGCTTGGAGGGGGACTCACCTCCTCTGCTTCCTTCAGCAGAGCATCCCATGAGCAGACTTTTCACTCCTGGGGAGTCTTGACCCAACTCACAACGCTGAATATCCTGGAAGGGAACAGGGATGGAAAGGACAGCCAAGGCAAATTGATATTTGTCTTCTGTTATCTGTCTCTCTTGTACACTCAGAGAGAAGAGCTAACGCAATTGATCCTAAGGCTTTTGCAAGCCTGGAAAGAGCCTCTGTCCCACTTTGACCAGAGCAGAGTCCATCGTCCTAAATTGTCGGATGGGAACCTGCACAAAGCCAAGGAAATCAGCAACATGCTGCAGGAGCTGGAGACGGGAGTGGAAAAAATCACGGAGAAGGCTAGTTTGGTTAAATTCAGGCAGAACCGAACTTTGCTTGTGACTTGTATGTTGTGCCCTGCGGGAAACAGGCCTTAGGGATCTTTTTCAGCCCTTTTCCAGCCCTCATTCCCTTCTAAGCAGCCTTTTAAGAACCACGTGCCCTTACCAGAGTTCCAGGACAAATTCCAGGCAGGCAAACAGCAGTCAAGGAGAGTGCGAAGCAGGCTGGAGAGGGGTGTGGCCTGGGAAGAGGAGGTGTGGCTAAGGAGGGGGTGGAGCCTCAGGAGAATCTCAAGAGCTCAACAGAGAAGCAAAGGGTGCTTAGTGAAGAGATCCCATTGGTATAAGTTTTCTAAAGTATCCCTGTGAGATAGAATGCTCTTTGTCCATAGCTGTAAGCCTGACATCACTTAACTAGGAAGAAGCCCCATTGAGTTCAATAGCACTTACTTCTGAGGCTTTCAGCCCAAGTTAGCATCCTATAAACCTGGCTTTCTCCACCTTGAAATTTCCAGTGAATGCCCCAAGTGGCAGAAGTACAGTATAGTATAAAAAAATCAGCTATGAATGGATTTTTACATGGGATTCAATGAATATTATTCTTCTGTGGTCACTAGAAGAGGCAAAGAACTATGCCGCAATCCTGGCCTCCTAACTATTGGAATTCCTTCTCAGTTCTCCCTGCCCAATCCACCATTTCTATAATCTGTAAGGACTAGAAACTTGTGTTGTTTTAAATGAATGCTGAGATTACCATGCTATTTCTTTTAATACAAAAATAAAATTCTATGCTTGTGCAGTTCAGTCACAGCCTATGTAAATCCCTGGTACTACTTCCACATTTCTAGTTTAATGCTAAAATTCTAGTCTTGAAAGTTTAGAATAATGCTAAAATTCTAGTCTTGAAAGTTTAAAATAATGCCATGTCAGTTATTTCTGAGCACATTGGTTAAAACTATTCATTACTGAATATTTCACGAACTCTGATTCTGATATTTTTAACTCTAGTACTATCATTATTTTTTTCAGGAATGTAGGTTTGGTTTTGTGTCTTCATTTCATTTCATTTTCCTTTCTTTTATTCAGATGCAATCAATGGGGATTTTCAGCAATTCGCTCAGCGGCGTGGGATCATCCGAAGCAGCTGGTTTATCCATTAATAATGAAGGCAATTTAATGAGTGACTATGAGTTTATCCATTGCTTCAGGAGAGACTCCAACAAAGTACAAAACTACTTAAAAGTTCTCAAATGTAGGATTGTGCCAGCAAATAGTTGCTGAATTTTTAAAATCTGCAATAGCAAGGCAGTTTCCAGGACTAGCATTGTGTATTGTCTGTGGACGGTGAGCAAAATAATTTATAAAGGTCTTTATCATGCCTGCGGTCTCATTGAATTATTAACTGAAAAGCTGGATTCAGATAGCTCTGCCCCCGATTTCTTTTCCATTGTAATCGGCTGAAAAATTAAAGAGGACAAATTATGACTATGTGGCTTGACACAGCAGACAAAATGCACTTTGGTGATCGCTCACAAATCAAATGCTGTGTGAAATTGCATTTTAAATAGTTCGTTTTTTTAATGTGAGCATGTAACTAGTAAAATGATCACTAGCCGGAGAAGCACACCTGGTTCTTCGATAATGATTATTATAAGTTTGCAGGGGACAAGGGTCCCCAAACTCCTGGGTGCTAGATCTTCCCCATATAGTAAATGTTAGAATTAATCAAGGTTTGAGTAAGCTGTGCCAAACACTGCTGGAGCCAGGCCAGCCTTGAAAGACCAGCAATAACATAACAAAATATGAGCCCATCAAGACATTCAGTACCAGACACCAAGGAAAGAGACAAAAGGGTTTGAAAAAGGTTTAGGATTTCCGTTTGGCCTGATGTAAGCTAGCAGGAAGGTCAGTTTGCAAGCTGGATCAGAACTCCTTATGGGCTGACTGTGACAGGCTGTAACACAGAGAGAGAGCACATGGCTGATACCTGTGTTTTGCAGCCAAATGCTGTTGCAGCTATGGGAGAAGCAGGACAATCTCTTGGAAGTGTGATGCTGGGAATTCCATCCAGCTAGACTCAGGTTGCATATATGTGTAAATAAACTATAGATCATAAAGTCACCACATTTCTCCATTGGTACCTCATTGCCCAAAATGGGGGGGGGGATAAACCCTGGCAAGCACACCTAGTACCCCCGGAATCTCACACCACACGGAGATTGGGGTGGTGTGTAATAGAATTCTTTCTCTCTCTCTTGTATTTCTTTCCCATAGCATCGGATGGACTAGCTCCTTACTTTGATTTCAAGGTTTTAAATTGGTTTGGCTTCAGTACATTCCTGGCCTAGAGTGGAACACACACAGAGATGTGGTGGAGCGAAGGCTGCTCATTCACTTCAATGGAAGAGGCAGCTTGGCTGGATGTGTAGGGCCCATCATGATGGTCTACAACACAGTCTTTTTCTCTCCTTCGTTTTTCTTTACTTCTGCCTCATTTTTTGCTTGGGCACAAATCCACTACAGATATGCCACTGATCCAATGTTCATTTACTTGCAAGTAAGCTCTGTGTCACTCAATGGAACATGCTGCCGGGTGAGCTAACTTGGGGGTGGAGCCTAAAATTGGCTTAAAAGTGACATTCCTTAATCCCAAGGAGCTGGTTTTATAAAAGGTTAGGTAAACCTCCAAAATGTATTTTGTATAGTTAAGTTTTTACCTCTATCTTCAGTACATTTTATTTTATTGCTATGGCTAGTGGCTGATGCAAATAAAGATTCTTCTGATCTAAAGGGTTAGGAATCTCTTTATAGAGGATTCTCTGTGTATCCACCAAACCACAGTTTCCAGGGTTCTTTGGGGAAGACAGGACAGGAAATTGGTACAAAACTGATATAAAAGTGTAGCATAAATAGGCTCTCGGGTTCTTTGGGGGTTTTTGTTTGTTTGCTTGTTTTTTGTCTCACATACCATTGCTTGACTCTCTGGTATCTTCTTAGCCATGACTGAGTTTACTGCCAGGACTCAGATTCTACTACCATTTCTCACCTTAGCCCCACAACATCTACCACATTATCTATGACAAGTAAAGATGATGAGCTGATAGCATCATGCACCATAGGGTTTATCGCTTCCCTAATGACCTTTAGAGGAGGTATGGGGTATGGACCACTTCGTCACATAGTGGCTTCTACTTCTAAGATGGTCATATTGCACTGATAAAATTGACCTCATATGGCAGTGCAGTAAGGCATTCTTAAAGTAGGCAGCCACAACATGGCTGACTTTTTCAACATGCAGAGAATGCCAGGGCGACAGTTTGAATATCCGTGACGGGGTAAGCTCCTGTTGCTCTGTCCTAGCTCCTGCCAACCTAGCAGTTCGAAAGCATGCCAGTGCAAGTAGATAAATAGGCACTGCTGCATCAGGAAGGTAAACAGTGTTTCTGTGTGCTCTGGTTTCCATCACAGTGTCCTTTTGCACCAGATACTGTTTAGTCATTCTGGCTACATGACCCAGAAAGCTGTCTGTGGACAAATGCCGCCTCCCATGGCCTGAAAAGCGAGATGAGCGCTGCAACCCCATAGTCGCCTTTGACTGGACTTAACCATCCAGGGGTCCTTTACCTTTACTTTTTACCTGCTTTTATAAATGATTTGATCCTCTGTCACAGAAATGGGGAACCTGTGGCTGTCCTGATGATGTTGGGACTACAGATCCCCTCATCCCTGACCATTGGCCAAGCTGACAGGCACTGATGGGAGTTTGAGTCCAACAACACATGGAACGAAGGCCTCAGATCCCAGCATCCCAGCTTTAGAGAAGACTTTAGTGTTGTGAAATGTTGAATTAATTGGTCTCTGGAGAGAATGACCACAAACACTCCATTTGCATGTTGTGTGTACCATCATGTATTCTGAACTTCACACTCAACCTTTAAAGTTCACTTACCATCAGTTCCTTCCTACTTCACTTACATATGAGGGAAGAAGACTGACTAGGGAATCTTTTTATAGCATTAGTTTTTGCCAATTTGTTACATTTTTGTTTTAGCAAATGGCGAAGTATAGAAACTAATTCAGTGTCCATGTAAAATACAGTTAGTCTTGTGGGAGGAATCATCCTCAATCAATGGTCAGTTATCATTTTGCTTCATCAGTTCCCCCCACCCCATATGATACAACGTCCTTCTCTGTGCTGTCTTGTTCTCGATACAAGTGTAATGTATCAGGAGAGGAGTTTGCTCTCGTAGGTATCTGCAAGCCGCTTCTGCCGTTCTGTCTCTCAGAATGTTCCGGGAGGCTCCGCCATCTTGGACCTGACTGCTGTTGAGCTATTTCCCAAACAGGACATGGCGAGGAGGTAAAATTCAAAGATTTGGAAAGGTAGGTCTCTTGAAGACCTTCCTCTGGCAGGCACCTGTTTGACAGCACTTCTTTTTCTTTGGAGTTTCGCCATTTCATCCTTCGATTTTGAAACCAGATTTTGACCTGTTGGTGGGGTAATTCGACACTATTATTGTTGGTTTCTTAAAATAATTCCATCTACCATATGCACCTTAATAATATAATAATAACTCTGGGCGACTTCCAACAAAATATTAAAATACCGTAATACATCAAACATTAAAAACTTCCCTAAAGAGGGCTGCCTTCAGATGTCTTCTAAAAGTCTGGTAGTTGTTGTTCTCTTTGACATCTGATGGGAGGCGTTCCACAGGGCGGGCGCCACTACCGAGAAGGCCCTCTGCCTGGTTCCATGTAACTTGGCTTCTCGCAGTGAGGGAACCGCCAGAAGGCCCTTGGCCCTGGACCTCAGTGTCCAGGCAGAACGATGGGGGTAGAGACGCTCCTTCAGATATACTGGACCGAGGCCTTAAGTTTTTCATTCCCCTCTCTGAGCCTAACCAAAAGCCACCCTTACGTACCAAGATGAACTCTACTTTAGGAGGTTAACAAAACCCTGCTATACTTCTGCTCAAACAAGGAACAGAGCAGAGGCACTGGCAGAGGAATGGGAGTGTGGAGGGAGTGGACCGCCCCCCGGCACCACTATTCCGGTAGGGTGCCATTGTGGTCCCCCCCCGACACACGCTGCGCACCTCCCCGTGTGCGCACCAGGCGCCACGCACCCCGGGGCACGCTACACCCTTGCAGACGGATGCCACGCCCCCGGGGACACCAGCCACACCCCCGCCTGCTCTCCACCCCTGGTAGCAGAGCAATGCAGCTTCGCCACTGGGCAGAGGTTCAGAACACAGCTGACGAGGTACCAAACCTCTCTGTTACCTGTGACTCTTTGAGACCCAGATTGAGGGCCAGTTTCTTCCTGTCTGTTTTGCTGATGTATTTCTGCTTCTGGAACATTTTCTCCAAAGCTTTTCTTTGATCTTCAGAAAAAACAGCTCTTCTTAAAATGCCTCTCCGGGATCTGGAATCCTGGGTTAGAAGAGGCAGAACACTTTCCTGTCCTGCAGCAAGAAAAATGGAGCAGCGCACATTAGTGTCATTGATCCAGTTAGCCAGATTTTTTTTTGGGGGGGGGGGGAATCCTGCGTATAACTTGGCAGGCCGATTTCAAAGAATTTCCCATACTGCTATGTTTCAGAGATGCTGGTGTAGCACAATAAACTGCTGCAGATAAAGCCCATGCAACATATCTGTCCTTAAATAATACATCTCATTCTACAGCAATTGAACCCAGATGTTCTATGTGGAAAGGAGATGCTCTGCCATTCAGTTACATCCCTTTCCTAAGTGTGTGTGATCAGAATGCTGGCCAAGTAAAGTTATTTGAATTAGGCCACAGTCTTCTAGAAAACTCTGGATAACTCACAAGATTCCTATAATCTCTGACTGGTTCAGATTAGCTCAGACAAACAGAACATCTAACCTGTTTTAACAGGAGGTATAGAGCTAACCACCACAATAAAATAAAATAAAACCACAAGTTTAAATCAGATCTTACATTCTGAGCAATGTCCTCATTGTGATAAAGAACTTTCTGGATTCCCACCCCTCACCCCCGATCTACTGTAGGCAGAAGAATAAGCTCACCTATAGATCACAACGGTTTTGTCAGGACAAATCAGCTGCAACAAGCCTGCAGGCCTGTGCAGCTGAACTCCACCCTTGAAGGATGTAATACCATGTTGACACAAACGCTAATATGGTACCAAATACTTTTGGGGGAAAAGCTTCTCCTTTGCATTCTAGTATATGGTGATAAATGTCTCCTTAATCTGTGGAACAATCTTCATTTGCCTTTGTGGCAGAGACCACCTTGAAGGAGCGAGTAAAGGCTTTCGTCATGGTTTCCATTTTTTCCATTGCAATTCAATACGCTCTAGTTAAATGGACAATTAATAGGTCACTTCCAAAATAGTAGTGTATCAGTCCTGGTTAATAAACAATTGCCGCAGTTGATAATGGGCCCAGTGTATTCAGTAGGTCCCTGTATGCGCTCGGCTCAGCTCACTAAATCCCTTTTCAGGTAGACAGGGTTATATGGGAAGATGAGCTAGAATGAGTCTATAAAAGTCAGTTTCATTCACTGCTTTATTTTTCAGTCAAGTGCTTTAAATGGTGTCCAGAAATCCTCGCGGAATGCGAGACAGGAGAAAAGATCTGCGCACAGAACCCCGCTTTATGGCCACACAAAAGGGCAAGTGACCCCTGGCCCGGCCCTTTCAGCCCAAAATGGTTCCTAAAGTTCATCGGCACAGTGAAAAATGGTGGTGAGGTCGCGTGTGGATGAGTAAAGTGAAAGTGGCAATTGGTCACGGCGCTGTTGCCCATTGTGAGGTAGCTGGGCCCATGTAAAACGCTCTGTGGGAAAGTGTCAGCTCCCTAAAGAGCGGCTCTGAAACTTGCAGCTCATTAAACTGGCAGCATTTACTGCCTCACTTGTCAAGAATCATTCGACTTAGCAACTGGCCTCCTGAAACATTCATAAAGAAGCCTCTTCTACCATCGCCCCCCCCCCCAACCACCTAGGCAGCCGCCTCCTAGAAATCTGTCACTAGCACAAGGAGATCCTTCCAGCAGCCATATCTTCCAGCGTGGATTTAGATTATTGCTTGGGGTCTTCTCGTAGGCATCGGAATGTTGAACTGGATTTATCTGGCTTATTTGATTTATTTTCAATATTCAAGGGCAGCTTTCCACCATAGGCGGTGACAAAGCAGTTTACAGAGCGATCAGTAAAATAATCCATCAATCAAAACAGAGAAGTGTTCAAAACAAACAGAAAGCGCATCAGCCTCATAAAAAGTCAAAGCATAACTGACTTTAAAATGACAAGGGAAGGTCTTTGTCAAGTACCTTGAAGTTCAACAGGAAGAGGGTCTTTCTGATCATATCCAAGAGGGATTGCCAAAGATTCAGACCCACAGTACTGATAGCAGTGCTATTCTTCTAGAAAAAGAGGTGCCGGAACTCACTCTCCCTTGTTCTCTTATAATGGCAGTGGTGTCCACCTGGGAGGTGCTGGAAATGAGTTCTGGCAAGTTCCAGTTAGAAAAAAAATCCTGCCTGATAGGCCTTTGGACTAGAGCCAGCAGGGCTCTGATGTTATTATTTCACTATATTCATTCTTTTTAACATCTGCAACCTAAACCTAATTGGGTTGGGTTCCTAACAACCTGCAACCTAAAGATGTGTCAAGAAAGGGGATCCTACCTAAATCTACTGAACTAGTGTAGGTGGTGCTGTCATCTAAACCACTGAGCCTCTTGGGCTTGCCAATCAGAAGGTCGGTGGTTCAAATCCCCGCCATGGGGTAAGCTCCTGTTGCTCTGTCCCAGCTTCTGCCAACCTAGCAGTTCAAAAGTGCACCAGTGCAAGTAGATAAATAGGTACTGCTGCGACGGGCAGGTAAACAATGTTTCTGTGTGCTCTGGTTTCCATCACAGTGTTCCTTTGCACCAGAAGCAGTTTAGTCCTGCTGGCCACATGACCCGGAAAGCTGTCTGTGGACAAATGGCGGCTCCCTCAGCCTGAAAGTGAGATGAGCACCACAACCCCATAGTCGCCTTTGACTGAACCTAACCATCCAGGGGTCCTTTACCTTTTTACCTTGCTGGATCTAAATCTACTGGACTAGCCTGAAAATTATGTTATCAAAGTGGTATAACATGAATTAAACTCATAGAAAGTACCTCTTCAGATAAAAGACTTGGGCGGGGCGGAATAGTACGATCAGTTAGTTTGCAGTTACTATGTGGGAACAGTTTCAGAAAAGCCATGGGCCATGTTCACACCATATATTTGAAACGCTGTGATACCACTTCAAATGGTCATGGCATTCCTCAAATAATTTTGGGAGTTGTAGTTTGCTAAAGGTGCTTGGAGTTTTAGGAGACCCCCCCCTCCCCTGCCCACCTATTCCCAAGTGGTTTAATGATTAACCCCTTTCACAGGGAGCTCTAGGAACACTACCTAACTAGAAGCACATATCTTCTAGGAAATGCTTAACAAAAACAGCAAAATCTAAAAAGCTTTGAAATAGGGATGGGATTCAACCAGATGAGTGAAACAAACTCTTATACTGAGCAAATGACCATTTACTCCACCCCCACCTCCAAACATCCTATTATCTGCTTATACATGCTATTTCAGGAATCCTAACAGTACAAGCAGTCATGGTAATGATGACAGCTTTAATTTGGTGTGAAATTTCTTCTAAATTTCTCTGCTGCCTTTGTGAGCTCTAATTTGTAATTTTGTATACACACCTGTTCGTGTGTTTTCATATTTGACCAAACGGGGGGGGGGACTTTTTAAAAAACGTATTATGCATACATTTTCAAGTCCTACTGACTTTAATAAGGAGATTTATCCATATGTAGAACTCTTCCACTGATAACTGTGGGACTTATAAATCTTTGACCCCAAGTTTAAAATGTGGAAAGGATGTCTCTTTTCAAAAACAGAATCCTTATGTTTCCTAAGAGTTAGGTTTTGGCTTGTTTGTTTGTTTTTTTAATAATAAAAAAAAGACTGGCATTTTGTTTTTGCATTTCCCATTTACGAATGACCATTGATTCAGGCCTTGAAAGCAAATTGTGGATCTTTTCCCAATTCTCTGAAAGCCAGATGCCTCCCTTGCTTGGCACTTTCTCTCAATGGGGTTTAAAAATCTCTCACAATTACTCAGTGTACTGAAGTCTGATAAATCTTTGGAACCCTTCTGAATGGAATTGCTGTGATTTTTACAGAGGCATGAGCTCTTTGCCATTGCATCACCAATTAGGTTTTTTTTTTCCCCCTCTTCCCAGCGCACATTAAATCCTGCTGCTTTGGTTTACAGAATAACTCAAGCATTACTGATGAAGCATAAAAACTTACTTGGAAAAGCAGTGGGAGACGCAGGGTGTTGACAGGACCCACCGCAGCACGTCGAATAAACTGGCGGGGCTCTCAAGAAAAAGGGCTTCAGAAGAGCTGCAAACACAGGGTTGAGTCCAATGAATGTTGCTGGCATTCACAACACTTTTAAGTATAGATAATGCTACAATAGGAATCTATTAAAGCCAATTAGCGTTTCGCCATTACTTTCTCGGTAAAAAGTGGATTCCGTCAGGCATACACTGTGACAGGAGAAGCGTTTTTTTCTGCCTAAATGCAAACACAGAGAAATGATAAGCCATCTCCTTGCGCAAGAAACTTCATCAAAATCCGTTTCATCTCATTAATTGCTTAAAAATATAACCAGATGAACCCTCCATGCACATTTATTTGCTGGCAGTTATTTGGTCAATCGTACACTTGCTTAGGTTAAGTTCCGTGATTCATTAATGCTTCTAACTTCTGGAAACATTGGCTGACATTATCTCCAGTTTGATAACTAATTTTGCAGAATAGCCAAGCAACGGCTGTTTTAAGCCGCCGTTCTATTTACTCTGAATAATTTTGGTGGCTCTAAAATGCCAGCATTGTAGGTTAGCAAATGTGTTGCTCCAACCACACACAGGTTGTTTGAATACCCACCGAGCGCATTTTAAATCTCAACCCTAATACAGAATGCCTAGAAACAATAGTTTGCTCCAATGAAAGGGGCTATTTGCATGCCAGTCGTTTGTGCAGTGTGACTTGCCACGTGGATCAGGAAATGTTCTCCATGGCACTGCAAAGTGCAACCCTTTCTTGGACCATTGCCCTACCTGCACGGCAAGCCGTTGCATGCTAATGGCTCACTGCAGACAGATTGAAGGGGTCTCCGCTCAGCTGCTTCACAGGCACCAGCCCAGAAATCTCACTGCGTTTCCCTTCATCTGACTCCCAAAATAAGGATGCTTTAGGATGAGGCACCAAATTGTTGGAATGGATTGCAGGAGCACAAGTGGTGCTTCCTTGCCTCTTCCAAATACCCTCCCCCACTGTATTCACCACATTTCAAAAGCAGTTTGAGCTCCAGTGTGGGAAGGCAGCTGACAAGATATTTGCCAAGAGTGACTTCTCTGAGTTGTGCTGCTTTGAGTTTCCATTTTGGTCCTCTTCCCTTTGCCACACATGTAGAAGCCACTCAGGAAGATGCCTGTTACCAATGTAATGATCAGCATAATGGAATTATGGCTGACTGTGTTGGCAGTAAATAAATACTCCAGCAGTTGTTTACAGCTAAATTTCCATAGAAGAAATAACATTGGTGCGTGCACCTGGAATAAAAAGTTAGGGCACATAGTGAAGGTAAACCAGGGCAGATAACTTTATTAGCCATTATCTGCATGAGATCTCCAGCATGAATTATCAGCAAGCAGGAACCACCTTATGATCTCCTTTGGGAATCCTTAGGACAAACCTGGCCCTGCCTGCTTCTGCCACACCTTTCAGATGCTGAAGGAGGACTTCTTGAATCAATACTTTCCCACCCACCCCAAGTGTCAAGACTCAGGACACTGAGGGCTCGTGCACATTTGCATTTGTCCCATGATTTCTACGTATGGGAATGAGATTATTTTATTTAATCCCACTGCTGCCCCTAGGACAAGTGTCAATCCGCAGAAAACCCGACTGATGTCTGTTCCAATACAGCACTAAATGGCAGGTTTTCCCAGGGAAAGAAAAACCTCTCAGACCTGTTTCTAGAAATCGTGAGACAAATGGAAATGCAGATTGTGGGAATGTTCAGGGTGGCAGGAGAGGATATATTGTTTATTAATATCCTTCCTAACTTGCGCTAGCAAGTTCCTTCATGTAGCAGAGTTACACTCCCCTTTCTTACATGCACAGCAGATAGCTGGTTGCAGGCTTGTGTAAGCCTCTCACTATTACACAATTCAGTCTGTCTAAGATTGAATTGTGCATTTCTGGTAAATTCCCTTTAATCCCTCTTAAAAGAATAAAGATACGACAATCTTATTTAAAGTCAATAAAAGAAGTTTACTCACATCAGTTCACAGTTGGATTCCTGAAGGCAGACTTAGTTACAAAGATATACATGTGGATCTACCCTATATGGGGAATAGTCCCAGTGCTTCTGCTAGCTGAGAGCTAGCAGAGCACTCCTAGCTAAAAAGCTGGTCCAACGAAGAAGAAGGGGAAAAGAGAGAGAGTGCTGCCTGACTCGTCCTTTTGTTACCTGGACAGGTAAGGTCACACCCACCTCTAGTCACATGCAAGGAAGGATGCTCCAGCCCAGGAGGAACAGGAAGTTTCAACTGGATGGACCAACATCCCCTTGCATGTCCACTCTAGGAAAACAAGAAATGTTGTATTTGACTGCTTCCAGTGGATTACATCCCACACAGATGAGCCTTGAGCATAGGATAGAAAAGCTATTTGCCGCATGGTTCCTGGAACCTAGCCTGTGGGCAGAAAAAAGGAAGAGGACTTGTTGCCCTTTTGCCCTTTTTGCAAGGGTGACTCGTGCTGTGGCAGGGGAAGTGGCGAAAAGACTTCTCAAACCCCAGTCACAAAATACGCCTGGCACCTGGCTAATTTTGAAAGCTCGCCCTTAGTGCATACTCCCAGCAATCCGCAGAGTGGTTCCTTTCCCTGACCCAGGCCCTAAGATCTGATTTGCAAGCCTAAGGACCCCTCCCCCTTTCATAATGATACTTCTGAGCATGATCTACATGCACTGCACTGATGCTGTGACCAATCTACTTCACAAGTTGATGCCACCTTGTCTCAAACTCCCCTTCCGATAGGACCAGTGTAGAGCTAAAAGAAGAAGAAGAGCAAGTCACTCTCCATCAATTTGTTCTGTGGGCAAAACCTTCCTCCTTGCAGATGAAACATCCCTTAAGCAATTGGTTCCTCCGGTACCACAGCCCCTGTATTGGGCAGGTGCCTGTCAAGCCAATCCAGGGAGGGCTGGCAAAATGGCAGTGCAGACTTCCATGTAGCCCTTTCTGGCCTTGGCCCCTGCCAGTGTGCGCATGGATGCAACACACCTCTGTGCGCTCAGCCTGATGTCCTGACTCCTTTTTGATGCAGATGCAATGCCATCCCTGACTTCATTGCGTCTCGCATTAGCTTTAAGATGGTGGGAAGCCTGTAGCCTCAGAGGCATTCTCGGACTCCTATCACCAAATGGCCACATGTTTCCTCAACTTGCTCTATACAGATTCCAAAAGAGTAGACCCGGAGTTTGTGACCTGGATTCTAATCTCTTGGGTGGGGAGAGTTGTGGAAATCCTTTATGGAGTGAAGCTCCTTAATGGGGTAAAGAGTTAGAATGGATGGATTTAAATTCATTTAAGCAGGAGTTGGAGAACCTGTGGCCCTCCAGATGTTGGAGCTGGTCCACTGGAACAAGTGGGACACTATCTGAACCAACCACAGTCTGCCCTCATCCAGCCCCTGCCTGCCTGCCTTCTTACTTACAATGAGTCTAGGCCCTGACAATCTGTGTCCTCCTCCTTTAGTCTCAGCAATTACCTGGTAAAACTCAACAGGGGGGAGAGCATTAACAAAACTAGAAGTAGTTGGCTCCACCCATCGTTGACTCTGGCGCCATCTACTGTTGGCCTCCCTGCTTTCTTCGCTGCTTGCCTCCAGATATTGCTGAACTAGAAGTCCCATATTCCTGACCACTGCCCATGCTGGCTGGGGTTGATGGGGATTCAACAGCCTGGAGGGCACTGTGTTCCCTACTTCCAATGCACTGAGTAAAGAAAGTCCACGGCCACTGAAAAGTATGCTATGCCCAGTGGAAAACCCAGGGTAAGACTTGGCAATGTTTAAGAAAATGCTCCCCCAAACTGCACCCACAAAGAGCCCATTCTGCTCTCATCTAATTGGCAGCCGGGCTCTCATGGAAGCCAATTGCTTGGAGGCTTTAGAACAGAAATAGATGAGAATCAACAACTAAGACAGGCTGCAAGTCCCATGACATTTATTATACAGCAGATCTGCCAAAAGCCATTTCGCAGTTCCAAGTGACTAAACCTGAAGTAGAGCATGCATTTCCACAGATGCTTCTGACAGGGCCTTTCGGCTTTCGCAAGCTTGAGAGTCTGTTCTTATTTAAACACACACACCAGTTCTCCAAGCACCTCTACCAAAGGATTTAAGGATTCAGTTGTTATCTATCACCACAACAGCCACCAAGTCTTTCTGGTGGGCACTTCTGAAAAGTTAAGCTCAGGAACAGGCAGAAGAAATTATGTTGGAACTGTCCCAGATAGACAGGTTTGTACTCGGACAGCTGCTTCCTGACATATCAGCTCTCAAAGTGGGCCTCTGAATACATTTATGAAATGTGGCCTGCCATGGAATGAGCTACCACTGGATTCCTTTCAGTGGAGGACAACTTCCACAGCAGAGTTGCAGGTCTAGGTGAAGCCCTCCAGGCCCTCTATGTTGCCATTATAATGGTGGCAGAGGGATCCCGCCGTACCTACATCCCAGCAGTGGTGGAGGGTGTGCTGCCCTTCCCCGCAGCAGCAGATGGTATGGCGATTTATAGCACAGCCCTGCAACCCCCTCATCTCCATGGCTAGGGTGATCTAGGTGACAAAACATCATGCCTGGTCTGGTCCCAAGAAACACAAACCAGCCGACTAGGGTGACATGCCTAGTGCAAGCACTTCCGTAGGGATGTGTTCATCCCAAATGAATAACCAGAGTCCTGAATACAGTCGTTGGTACCTCGGGTTAAAGACCTTAATTCGTTCTGGAGGTCCGTTCTTAACCTGAAACTGTTCTTAACCTGAGGTACCACTTTGGCTAATGCGGCCTCCAGCTGCCACCACGCGATTTCTGCTCTCATCCTGAAGCAAAGTTCTTAACCCTAGGTACTATTTCTGGGTTAACGGAGTCTGTAACCTGAAGGGTCTGTAACCTGAGGTACCACTGTACTAGCCAGAGCAAGGGGAAACTAGAAGGGTCCATAAACTGGTAGATCCACAGGGAAAGTTGCTGCTTACTGGTGGAAAGCAGGTGGATCAGACAGGCCTGCTGCTCCCAAGTTGCATGGCAGCCCAAAGAGATCACCCCACAAATACTAGGCATAATACACATTTAAACCCCAGTGCTCACCACCAACGTATATGGAACAACTACCACCCCCTATTACTTACCCACGTTCGCCAATATTACTGAGCTTTTAAATATATTTGGGGGAGGGGGTATGGCTATTGGCATAGTTATTTTATTGAAGCTACGTTGGATTAAATAGCCCAAGGAAGTACACTGCTTTTAAAAAAAATACTTTTATTCTATCAAGTGGTGTATAAATTTTATGAAATCAATAAAACACAAACAGATCGATAGAGATCGATCTTCTAAGACGGAAGGGGGCAAAAAGAGACGATTAAGGCGGTGCGTTTCCGCGTCGTTTCAGAGCGCAGACATAACAAGTGCGAAGTCGAGAACCGGATCCGGTTCGGATCCAGGGAGCGGCTTTTCGCTCTTGCTGACGCGGAGCGTGAGGCGGGGATCGGGAGCGCGAAAGCCTCTTGCACTTCGCGGAGAGCGAGCAAGCGGGACTGCGGATTCTGCGCCAGCAAGAAACGAAAGTTCGAGCCCGGGCTTTGCGCTCCCGCGCGCCGCTTCCAGCCGCGGAACCTGGAATGAGCAAGGGAGGAGGAAGCGCGTGGATCTGCAAAGATCGAGCAAGGGGATCCTGAGCAGCCGGGATCGCTTTAGGCGGAGAGCGGTGGGAGCGGGGAAGCCTGCCTGGCTGCCTGCTCGCCTGCTGGCTTGGCTCACCTGTGGCTGCGGGCGCAAAGCTGCCTTCTCTGTCCGCCGTCGAGGCGCCTGGAGCGGGGAAGGGCCAGGGGCTGCTGATCTGGGCGGCGGCTGCCGGGCACAGCTTGAGCGGGACGGGCGCGGCGGGCAGGTCGGCAGGGCCCTGGTGCGGAGCCGCCCCGCCGCCGGCCCGCAGCAAGTTCTCGATCAGGAAACTTTTGCCGAAGTTGCCGAAGCCCGGCGGGGCGGGCAGGCTGAACAGGCCCAGCCGAGCTGCCGCAGGGCCAAGCCAAGGCTCCGGGAAGCATCGCCGGGGACGGGAGGCGGCAGGAGGGGGAGCCTGGCCCGGATCCGACGCCTTGACACACACACACCCCCGACGATCAGCCTCCTGCCGGGACCTCAGACGGGATCCGTGGAGGGGGCCGCGCGTGTCCCCATTCCACGCACCCACTTTCTAATCCTTGGAGGGGGGTGGGGGTCGGAGAGGGGGGTGCTCCTTCCGTGCGCGATCGACGTGTCCCTCTGGCGCTCTGCGGAGATCCGACGCGGCGGACGAGAAGGTGTGTCCGGCCTCATTAATTACGTCCAGGAGACTTAAGGAGTGATGGACAAGGGCGACAAAGCAAGCGCGGATGGGGGCGAAGAGCTGGGCGGGGGCGCCCTCCGCCATTGGATGGGCATGGAGCCTCCTCGAAACCATTGGATCGCCGGGTCCCCCTTCTTGGCCGGCGCTGAAGGGGCTTCCCGGTTCCTTATGCGTGCCCCTCCAATGCTCACCCCTGGCAGAGAGGCTGTGTCCCCTTCCAGATATTGCCCAGATTGAGCGGGTGAGGAAAAGGGAGCTGTGACTACTCCCTGATTGCTCTCACCCACTCTGGGCCCATCCACACCTTGGCTTAATGTGGGTTGTGAACCCCATAGGCATGGGCGTAGCCAGGATTTATCATGTAAGGGGGGCAAGAGTCAGGACACCCACCTGTCATCATTCTCAGATTCAGAATGAAATAGCTCAACAACAGTTGTTTTAAATTACGCTCAGAAAAACCTGTCAAAATCTTTCTACAATTTCTACTTTTAGTTAAGTGTTTTTATTTACTTACTTAATTTAGGGGATGCAGCTGCTTCCCCATTGGCTACACCCATGCCTTTAGGGCTCCTTTAATGCCCACCTCCGTTTGCTAATGCCCCCCACTTTCTCTTCCCTGTATTCGGATTGTCTATGCAATCGGTGGAGCTCTCCCAGACAGATTGTCAAAGGGATCTCCGGATTTAGGGAGGGGAAAGTGTGGGACAGCCGGGGTGGGGGGCAAATGCCCTGTGGCTGAGCTGGGGTGTCTCGCAGAAGTGCGAGTGTATGCTCCAAGCTTATTGTGGGATGCACAATGGAGTCATCACATGTAAAAAGGTGTTGCACAAAAAAATACCTTTTATTGGGGAGAATTCTAGCAAATCTCTAAAGGGACAGTTCCATGGTCATTAAAAAAAACCACAAAACCCATTTGTTTATTAGTTCCTTCAGTTCCTTATTGAGTCTGCTTGTGGGGAAGCGATAACCAAATTCTGACTGTCTTCCAGGTTCCTCAGAGGACTTTCAAGCCCCTTATTCCAACATGGACCATCACTGGCTCCCAATTTTGAAGCTGATTAGAATTGCCGTTGGCATCTGTGCCAACTATTGCACATTCCGCGCTATTTGCCAACACTGGTGCATTAAAAAAACCAAACCTGATCTATTGGGAAGGATGACATTAACCATGGTTGCGTTGCAACAAAAGTTGTTAACTTGCTCTGAAAATATCAGACATAATTATCATTATGCTGTACTAGGTAAAACTTTTTGAAAACGCTTCTGTTGAGAAAACTATTTAGGAGATGCTGCAGTTATTTTTTAAAAGGTGTATGTGTGGTATATATTTTTTCATCTCACTGCTCCTTAAAAGTGCAAGTATTTTATGGGTTGGGCTCTGGTACCAAAGTAAGATACTGTATAATCTCCTTATCATGCTTTTGTAAGACAACTAGGTGGTGTTTTTGTTTTTTTAAATGCATGTGCTTGTTTTTAAATAACGTGTTAGAAAATATGATTTTAAAAAAAGAAGATAGTCACAGCCAAAGCCTGTATCTGTGGAATATTTGTGGAGGGGTTGAGGGAAAGAAATATTTTTATTTTATTTTATTGCATTGCATTTATTGCTTTTATATCCTACCTTTTCTCCAAGGAGTTCAGTGTGGTGTACATGGTTCGCCCCCTCCTCATTGATTCCCTACAACAACCCTGTGAGGTAGATTAGGCTGAGAGGCAGCAGCTGGAGCAAAGTCACCCAGTGAGCGTCATGGCTGAGAGGGGATTCGAACACTCTAACCACCACATGACTCTCATTTCATCTATTTTATCAGTTCTTTACTGAAGGTAGTTTTCGGCGTTAAGTCCAGATTGAAATTCTGATTGCATCCTAACACACAGCAATTCCGCTTTTTTATAGCTCAGTTCCCTCAGTCAAATTCTGTGGCATTTTGCTAATGCGGCACGTCATCCAAATCTGCAAAGCCCGTCAAGAGGAATTTGCCAGAGAAGGTCTTTTTTTGATGTTTTGTTTTTCGCAAAGAGCTTGTTGAGTGATATCAAACTGAGAAGGGAGCTAGGGCATGACCATGCCATCTATTCAATCTTTTTAAATTGTTGTTTAAAGAAAAGTTCAGCCTTTACACACAGAGCCAACTAAATCAGGGTTCCTCTGCATGCCTACGATTGGACAGCGCCCTTTATAAGAGGATCCCAATTGGAATAAAGCAATGTAGCTGTGAATGTGCCTTCAAAAAGCACTGCAGGATGCTGTTACAACAAGCTAACAAGCCACTCAGTGGGCCATTGCAGCATCACCCACCCACCCACCCACAGACAGACAGACACAAGAGTAAGAGACTGATCAGACATTTCCTTTCCAAGTAAACATAGGTAAAGGTATAGGGGCCCCTGACCATTAGGTACAGTCGTGACCGACTCTGGGGTTGCGGTGCTCATCTGGCTTTATTGGCCGAGGGAGCCGGTGTATAGCTTCTGGGTCATGTGGCCAGCATGACTAAGCCGCTTCTGGTGAACCAGAGCAGCACACGGAAACGCCGTTTACCTTCCCGCCTATTTATCTACTTGCACTTTGACGTGCTTTCAAACGGCTAGGTTGGCAGGAGCAGGGACCGAGCAACGGGAGCTCACCCTGTTCCGGGGATTCGAACTGCCGACCTTCTGATCGGCAAGTCCTAGGCTCTGTGGTTTAACCCACAGCGCCACCCGCGTCCCTCCAAGTAATCATACCACTTGCTAAACCCATACACCTTCCCCTCTTTCCTGTTCAGCATTAAAGTTTATGGGACACTACTCTGAAACAGTTTACTCTGCATTACAATTCCTTCCAATTTGTCACAGTTTCTGTCCCCTTCAGATACCTCATCCCACTTTTTTTGCAAAGTCTGCTACCAAACAGCCCTTTCCTACTGTTTATTTCTTCTCTAATCCTTCATTTTGACTGGAGTGCTAAGCATGCTTCCCTTGGCATAAGCCCCATTCAACACAATGGGACTGGCCTGCATCACTGAGACCTGGGTGGGTGAGCAGGTTGGTCTCAACCCAGCCATGCCCACCTGGGTACTTGGAGCAGCATCAGGGCAGACTTGAAGGTCGGGGAGAGTGAGTTTCTGTGGTCTATAGAAATTCCCTTTCTCCAGGCTCTCTGTCTATAATTCCATTATTCTGTGATGAAGAGTACCTCAACTTTCTAAGCATCTGAGTAGCCTTGTCTAAACAAGAATGTTTTTAGCAGGCACTGAAAAGTATACAGTGGTACCTTGGGTTACATACGCTTCAGGTTACATACCCTTCAGGTTACATACGCTTCAGGTTACATACGCTTCAGGTTACAGACTCCGCTAACCCAGATATAGTGCTTCAGGTTAAGAACTTTGCTTCAGGATGAGAACAGAAATCATGCTCCGGTGGCACGGCAGCAGCAGGAGGCCCCATTAGCTAAAGTGGTGCTTCAGGTTAAGAACAGTTTCAGGTTAAGAACAGACCTCTGGAACAAATTAAGTACGTAACCAGAGGTACCACTGTACAATGAAGGCTCCGGCTTGATCTCAATAGTCAGGGATTTCCAAAATTGTGGTTGCTGCTACACTACACAACTTGAATTCTTACAGATGTGGAACGGGTATTATGTGACACTTGTTAGCAGTCGGCTGAAGCATATCTTTTTATTCTGGCTTTCAAATTTAAATATTTCCGCTTTCAAATACAGACCTGAGAACTGTGTGCCATTAAATTTACTATTCGCTTCTGGAATTGTCCCGTGAATCACTTTGCATCACTCACTTGTCCTTGGCTTCCTCTCACTCTTTACTTAATGCTCCACCGATATACCTGTAACTGCTTGTCTACAGAGACAGCCTTGCAAACACTCGCCAGGCAGGTACTAGGTCATCTCTTTCAGCCCATTTAAGAGACTCGAAGTTCCAGGAGTTTATGTATAGGCTAAGTAGGATGGAGCCTAGGGCCTCTAAATCTAGGGGGCCTCACCAGCCCTCCTGCTCCCCAGTGGGCAATCTCCCCTCTCCCAAAATTGCAACCCAAAACTTCATGCGAGGGCAGGGCAACTTGGGCCTCTAAATCTAGGGGGCCTCGCCAGCCAGCCCGCTCCCCAATGCCACAGTTTCCCCTCTCCCAAAATTGTAAACCCAAGGGCAGGGCAACTCAGGCCCAGCAGCTATTAGACTCAGGGCTAGCCAGTGGGGCCCAATTTGAAGCAGTAGGGCGCAACTTGAATTAATTTTTTTTGTAGGGCCCCAGTTCACAGCCAAAGTCTGCAAAATCTTATAGATATAAATAAAATCCATCTAGATTGCCCTGGTGCGGGGGCTTCCTTAGGAGCAGCACGCAGGGCCCAATTTGGCCAAATTGCTCCAATTGCCTTAAGGTCAGCCCTGATGAGACTGTGCAGGGGTTGGACTGACAAGCCCTGCACCTTCTAGGTCCTTGGTATCACCATTCAGAGTACAGACTCAAGGACTTGTTATGGAAATAAGGGGGGGCACTTATTGGAAATCTGTTTTGTCACCTCTCCCCCCCCCAAACCCCAAGACAATGAGCCCAGCTACCTTTTATTCATAGTTGCATAAGCACTACACTACAGCATGGCCATAAACTTCTACGTTCAACCACTGAAATATACACCCAATATGTAGCAATGGAGATTTATGTTACTGCTTTATGAATGAACACTGTGTTTTATGAATGGACTCTGTATTTTATGAATTACCTAAGAGCCACCAATAGGGAGCTCTAGAATCTGACAGCTAACTAATTGGGTACTACAAAACAGTGACCCTTATTGCTGAAAGCAGGTAACCAGCAGGGAATGCTTCAGCTCAGCCTTTGCACTGTTGACTGAATACCCCCTGCTGTGCAGATAATGGAGAAATCTCATAAATTGTATCCCTTCTGGCATCCTGGCCAACTCTATTACACTGGTGTAAACCCTGGTGCACCAGAAGCCCAGAATAGCAGCAAATAAAATCCTCTCATATGTCAGCAACTGATAAGACTTGTCAACCAGTTCATCCAAAGTCTTCCTAAATTATAAAGCTCCAAAATATAGGCCAAAAGAGAGCAGGTCTGGGAAGAGTGAGCCATACAATGGGCACCACCAGTGAAAAGGCCCTGCTCCGTGTAACTTCTGCCCTGTCATTTGATAGAGTGCCCACTTGCCCTCCTTCTTGACATGGAATGCTCTCTATTGGAGTCTCCAGGTCCAGTACAAAGACTATAAGAAGGGAGAGCAGAGACCATGAAGTTCCCAACAGCTGTTAAGCAAGCAAGCAAGTATAC